ACAAACTCAATGACAAGCGCAATGAGAATAGTGTGATGTAAGTTCCTATTATCTGAATTAAGCAAACAGAATTAAGCCTCATGAATTAAGCAAACATGAATTAATCAGACACGGTAACGAATTAAGCAAATGTTGACGTGACTATGGTTAGGATCATACAATCAATCAAATTAAATCAATATACTCTATGCAATTTGAATTAAAAATACAAGAACATAGATTAATATTGAACGAAATAAAAGATGAATTAGAATTATTATAACCTCAAGGTGTCAGAACCTGAATACAGCAGATTGTCAGGATGAATTAGTTCTCCATGAAAATTCGTACAAAAGCCAAAAGTAATTTTTCTCAATAATGAAAAAGTTCAAAACAAAATTATTGTAGCGGCTTCTAGGTATAGCAAGTACAAGGATTCGGTTCATAACCCAACTGGGTCGAAAACATAACTCAGGCCCAAAATAAATGACCAAAAACTTAAATATAAAATGTTGTAACTTCAACAAATTTTATGGCCCTGCTACAGTCCTATTCAGCTCTCGACTTCTGAATTAAAATCATAGCTCTTTCTCTTATCTTTTCAACGACTGGTAGCACGCCTCATTCCGACTCCCCTAACTCAAGTTATGAATTTATTCGTGCAGACTGCTAATGCTGAAAATAAAGTGCGAAAATCAAATAAGAGTAGAAATAAACTAAAATAGAAAAACACTATAAAATAAAAAAATAAGCTAAACAAATCATGGAAGTGCATAAGTACAATCATGGAAGAATTTTCATCAAAATACACTGATCAAAGGACTTAATTCACTACAACCAAACTAATTACATAATCACAACAAGATTAATCATCACTGTTGCAAACCACAAAGACCAACTGTCAATGTCTTCTTGAGAATTCTGACTAAATCCCTAGTCTCTCAAGGAACTAAACCTCAAAGACAAATTTCTAATGTCTTCTTGAGAATCCTGACTAAATCTCTAGTCACTCAAGGAATAATCAACTCACTATTGAATACAAGTTTTTGTGTTTACAAGATTGTTTCTCAAAATAAGATTACACAAGATTGAAGTACATATAATAATAGAAAAGGGTTAAGCAAGTTAGTGAGCAAAATTTCCTTTCTAGCAAGTTAATGAGCAACAACTTCTTACTTTATAAAAATTATAGAGTTATTTTGGCAGCATTTCAGCAATTTGAATAAGCGTGAGTTTCTTCAAAGTTCTTCAACGATTCTGATTCTTCCAAATCTTCCTTTTATAGCCAAAAATAAATTCGTTGGAGGTTAGAATAGAAATACTAAAATTCCAGTTGTCTTCTTACAACGGTCAATAAGAGAGTGGTAGACAACCTCGTACAATAGTACTGCCCTTGCGCCACAAAAACAGCATAATGGAGGTGAAGTGATGTTGTACCTTATACTATTACTCACGTGAAACCTTTTGATCTTCTCTTCTAATATTCAGAGGCTTGTGAATGTATAATGATTGAAGCATGCGTAGAAGGATCAAAGTTAAGTCTTTAGAACCATGTCATTAGAGTCTTGTTCAACCCGAACCTTGTCTTCATAATCTTCAACACTTGGTTTTCAGAGTCTTTATAATCTTTTCTTCAGAGTCTTCATAAATTCGTTCAAGAGAACCTTGTCTTCAGAGTCTTCAGAAGTTGGTCTTTAGAATTGTATGTCTTCATAATCTTCAGAGCTCATTCAACATAACCTTGTCTTCATAATCTTCTGAACTTGCGCAAGAGAACTTGGAATCTTCAGAGCTTGATAACATATCAAAAGCTCTACTAACAGAGTCACAGTTAGAAGCTTTAAAATTAATGTTCTATCATAAAGTTCTTTTAGACGCATTCTAAGTTATGAAACACAAACTTGTATCTCTTAGTGTGTTGAGTCCAGAATCTGATGATGTCGCATGTCAATACTTTAGAGTCAAAACCTGTTAGCAAAAGCTACACACCAAATAAACCCTTAGGGTACTAAATTGTTATCTAATCACCCATGTAATGTTATCATCAAAACTCAAGGCCAAATGCATAACCAAATCTTATTCTTACAAAGCGTGCTTGACTTGGAGTAGTATTTAGATGAGTGACCTTCTGGGAAACTTTCCTAGAAAATGTGTGAGTGGGGACAAAGCATGCTTAAAATACTCGTGTTGGTTTGTGAGGTCAGACGTTAATCCTGAAAGTAGTCTGGGGAATTACATGACACATTCATACAAGATGATGAAATTTGGTTGGATCACTTTTTAGAAAGGATGAAAGAGTTCACCAAGTTGAGCGGAATTAAAAGAGGAGTAAATAAGGAAAGATCTAAGAATGAACCGCCAATAGATTTAGGCATTGATACATGTTTTGATGAACTTTAGTTGTAATATAACAATGTAACACTTTTTGTATGTAATGCATTGCATAATTTGTTGGCTCTGTTCTGTTTAATTTTTTGATAGTTCTGAAGATGCATCTCCGAACACATCTTTTAATAATTAAAAATAAATAAAATGGTGGAATATACGGACGTGCATCTCTGAATAAACCTTTATTTTTTGAAAGAAAAAAAAAAGGCAGGTCTGAAGATGTATCTCTGACTTTCATGAAGATAGGGAAAGTGTGTGAGTGAGCATAAAGCATGCTTAAAGACTCGTGTTGGTTTGTGAGATCAGTCGATAATCATGAAAGCAGTTTGGGGTGTTACAAGACATATTTCACACAAGATGCTGAAACTTGGTTGGATCACTTTTTAGAAATGATGGAAGAGTTAACCAAGTTGAGCGACATTGAAAGAGGAGCAAATAAGGAAAGATCTAAGAATGAACCGCCAATAAATTTAGGCAGTGATACATATTTTGATGAATTTTAGTTGTAATCTAACAATGTAACACTTTTTTGTATGTAATGCGCTACATAATCTTTTGACTCTGTTCTGTTTAATTTTTGGTGGTCCTGAAGATGCATCTCCGGACACACCTTTTAATAATTAGAAAAATAAAATTGTGGAATATATGAACGTGCATCTCTGAATAAACTCTTATTCTTTGGGAAAAAAGATAGGATAAGTTTGTAAGGTCCTTATTGCTTTACACCTTCTATAAATAGGGTCTCTCATTCCATTTTCTTTATTAAAATTAGAATGAAATCCTATCCCCATCTTGCAATTTGTGTATTTCAGTTTAGGATCTCCGAGGACATACTTCTCGTTGATCTAAAATTCAAACTGAATACTCTACTGTGATATCTAAAAATTTGGAGAGTTGTCAAGTTCGACTACCGTTCACCCCATTGACAACGAAGGGAGATACGGTTCGTTGTGCTTGAACTGAAAACAAATGACGATTTGAAGGTTATGTGGAGTACCTTTTACGTTGTTCAAAAAATGGTCTGATTGAAGTGGATGTGATAATTCAAAGATCATCTAAAGATATTATAAGGATGTTGCAACGTCCTGAACCACTCGTTTGTAATGAGATGTAATGTTAAATTTATGTAATGTTTACTTTGATATTATTCTATGTTTATTTTCCATTATGCTATTATTTTCTAACTGTTTCTTCTGGTTTGAATTAACAGAGCGTATTCCGGAGATGCATCTTTGGAAAGCTCATAGACTAATAAACTAGGCACATTATGGAGAAGCATCTCTGAATCAATATTTTGATCATTCGAAGATGCATCTCCGAACAAAATTAAACAGAACAAATGTTTCTCAACAATTTTGCTGAATTGTGTGTTAAAAAAGGTGTGCCTGGAGATGCATCTTTAGATAGTATAATATTAAAGATTTTTTACAATGGTGTGAGAAATTACGTAAGAGTGAAAAGAGTAACTCCCATAACGTTAACATCACTTTTTAGAGACTCATGTTTTTGTGGTCCAAGGGCATTTGTTTAGGCCCTTGTGAACATCATTTAGCTAGTCTTAAACACGATGGTTAGATAAGTTGGAATCGTATTATGCCTTCTGTACAACACAAAACTGTAACATTTTGGTTACAAAAAGTGCCAACGCTGAACACATAAGAGTTGAAGTATTTTTGTATGAAATTTTTATATTTGATTGGTGAGCCTACAACAATTGATGTTTTTGATCATATGCTCCAAAAAGATTCATATGAACAGGTTCTGTACAGGAGTCTTGCTTGGTTCGGAGCAGTGACCAGTCAAAGCTGTAAAAACTCAAAGCAAATAATACATTAGAAACTGTCACACAATGTTATGGAGTATAGGCTGGAACAAGTCCAATCCTAAGATTGTCAATATCCTAAAACCATAGCATATAACTGCCTATATATGCATGCAGGCTAGCTAGAAGGTAGGTAGGTCAGACATTGTATGAACTCAAGGATAGTTGACTACCTCCACGAGTGTATGTGAATAATATGAGTGTAGCCTCCACAGTATGACCTCAGGATAAAGGAAATGTTCCTTGCTTCCTTTTTGCATACCAAAGTTTCAATGCATTTCATATGCAACATATAGTTATATAGGTCAGATTAGATTATGGGCCTCTGTCCATTTATGATTCTGTATGGGTAGACCTAGATTTGTAAAAGCAGGAAACATAGGCAGGCCTTAAATTGGAATTGAAGTGGAGAAATTCTTTGACAAAGAAAAAAGTGAAGAAATCTAGTCATATTGTAGTAGTAAATTTATCTTACGAGTACTGTTGAATAATATAGTTTTTTTTTTCCTTGTGACAAATTGAATATTAGAGTTCATTCATGTAGATGTGATTTGTGTTATTTTCAAATGATTTCTTTTGGAGTAAAATAAATCATTTGTTAGGAAAATGTTAAGTTGTGATTAAACAACCACGCCTTTATAGATCAATGGTTTCAATAAGATGCATCTCTAACAAATTACAACATAATATACACAAGATCCAGAAACTTGTACAGTGCCAAATATGAAAGGTTGAATGAATCTAACTGATGTTTACGCGTGTCATATGTTAGATCAAACTATCTATCAGTGCTTGAATACATAATTATGAATCAAAACCAATTTGAGGTGCTGAAGTCTCTTAACTTTCTAAGATGTCTCTCCATTTCTTCTCTGGTTTGGATCCACTCTCGTCTTTCTATGACAGTGGTTGGATCATCTTTTTCACTCTGCATATAAAATGACATCTCAGAGGTGTGTCTTGTAAGGATAAATAGCAAGTGATTTAGGAAAGAAATAATTACCATGTGTATTATTTTGAAGGAGTTTCCCTTATCAGCTATGACAAGCAAGTCGCTCTTTCTATCTCTAGTTCTCCCTCCTGGAGCTGTTACCTGCAGAAGGCGTATTGATGATTAGTTCCAATTAGACCACTCTAGCTTGATTGACAATTTATTCATAATAAGTATGAATTCCTGCATAACAAAGATAGCCGTGGATGATTGTGTACAAGGGATTCCGGTGTTATGAGAAAGCCCTACTTAGCAAGTCACGACAGAAAAAGCTATACAAGGCTGTGAAAATCAGTCAGGATGAGAAATGGCTAATGAGTTCTAACATATCATCAGAGCATTATCCAGTTTCAGATGAACTCCATTTTCTTCTGGACACTATTACCCAAAACAAGAGTAAGGTCATTGTCAGAAACAATTAAAATAAAAACTAGTTTTCAGAGCTATCATTCAGAAATAGTTTAGGGTGATGAAAACTTTTTAGTGAAAATCTAAGTTTCATGCAATTACATAGAATAACAGCCAGTCATTAACATTGGAAAGGTTGTCCGGAGTTATCATACTAATTGTAGTGTGAGAAATCATGTAGCAATCAAGGTCCCAGCAAACAAAGTTGCATCAAGCAGGGGTAGGTGAGACACCGTGAGAGAGTTAAGTCCAGTATTGATATAAACCGATCCCTCCACGTACAGAGAAAAATGTGAGGGGACATTGTTCATGGATCTGAGAACTACTAGGCATGACTCCGGCAAATTCAACTAGAGCGAGGTTGTCTACATGAACTCATGGAATCTTCAGACTCAACCAGTAAGCTTTTACTAGATACAAAGTTAATGTTAAAAAATCTATAATAGTATCTAAACAAAATTTGCACAATAAATATTCAATACTCTAATAAATATTCTTTAAGGAACTGGTAAATTTAAACCAAACCATCGCGGTTCAAAATTGATGGACGAATTTGCAAATCAAAGGATAGGGTCACAACTCAGCACACAAGCTCAAAATTAAGGGCCGACATTAAATTAACAAATCATGAGTTTCAGAATTATTAGAGTGAAAGATGGCCAAACTGAGTTCCCCTCATTGGAGCTCGATTATGGTTTAAAATCATCACAACTGGCTTCATTCACCCCATTGGCCTGTTGGATTCATGCCAACATACAGCAATGGGTGTGTTAACGTGTTCTAATTTGACATCATTGATATTAGGAATTACGTGGTTGAGACTCAATAAAACACCGTTTACCTCATTGGTAGATGGGTTCATGTTGGGATCTCAGATGCATTTATGGAGTGGAGTGTTATTGTTCATATTTTGTGCCTTATCATTCAGCTGTTGTATTTTGGTTTTAAAAAAAATATTGAACCATTGTCCTTTTAAAAATGGGGAAAATAACCATTATGTAAAACTTGTTCAAATGTCCTCAAACTTGCAAGTCTACCCTAGTTTAAATGAACACTTCTATGAGTTCAACTAGAATTTGACGCTAGAGTCGTGCACTTGTAAAATTCTCCAAATTAACTTGAGAGTTTCATACAAAGTGTTTTAGTTCTTCAAAACATTATCAGTGTGCAATGATATTTTCCAGGATTTCAATTAACATTCTATAGCAATACAAAGATTATTTTGAGAAACAGTGCACTTTCCATGAATTCATTGTCCAGCACTTACAAGGATATTGTATAAGCAATAAAACAAAAGCAAATTCAAGGCAGAAAGTATGACTACGGAAGGAAACAATCAGCAGATAATTTTCTAAAAGCAACCAGACTGAGAATTCACTAACAATTCCTTACCAGAACATTGGCTCTGGTTATTGACTTAGTCTTGGAATCAATAACATAAATCTCCTCAAAATCTAGGACAAACTCAGGGTCTCCCAGCCTCCGATTTTTGTAGTGTTTTGTCAAGAATACCTATAACAGGAAAACAATAAAAGCTGGGTATTCTGTTTCATGTAGAAAACTTTCAAAACAGAATGAAAGTGAAAACAATGTGGTATCTTTTAGTTAAATCTGAAAAAATAAAATGTTTTATGAAACCAAAATGACCTTAACTTTCTTTCGAATCAATAAAACCTAATAAATTTTAACATAAAAAATTGTATTGAACGTGAGAATGTTATATTATAACTCATTTTCCTGACAATATTTCTAAATACCCTAGAACAACAGAACCCTAGTAGTGTGAAAGATACATTACAGCTCAAGTAAAGTTATTTGCCTGGTAGGATCCCATAAGAGAATCGTTCAGTAATATTTCACAATTCATGAGACAAATTCTAAAGCATGTGATCTTTAAGGCAGTTACATTACATATATATACTCGTCCATTAATAACTATCCATTTATATACAAGAAAGTTGTGAAGAAACACAGGAATTCAAATTTGACTTAAAAGCCTCAAATGCAATATCAACCCACCTTTTCGATTTCCCTCTCATATTTATAAAGAGGATCTCGACGTGCATCAACAGGTGGTTCTGTAACATTGTCGCATCCAAAATCACTTTGAGCACATCTAATGTACTACAAATTCATAGAAAGAAAAAAAAAAGCATACATTAAATTTGGAAGTGATACATGTAGAGGGAGAAATGGAAAAGAAATGAATCACTCTAAGTATGTTTAGCATAGCTTCCCCCCAACACAACATATTTTATAAGATACCAATATTATACTATTTAGGTCAACTTTTGATAAAGAGTTTAATTAAGTGCTTAAAGTATATGCGGTTATCATATAAGTCAAACTATTTTCATGTTGTTTTCATAGGCTATCCTAGAGATTTCATGAAAATGACTCATGAACATGTCATAAGTTGTTTATATAAGCTCTCTCATAAAATCTCAGAAGTGCCTAAATCATTAAGGTCTGTTTGGATTAGCTTATTTGAACTTATCTACTAACTTAGTTTTATGATATTGTTTGGAAGACCTTATTAGAAGAGCTTATGACACTTATCATAAACTTTTTATAGCTTATTTTTATAAGTTCTTCAAAATAAGTTACGAAAACAACTTGTAGCAAGCATATATAAAAACCATATAAAATGACTTATACAAGCTTACTCATAAGCACTTGTGCTATAAGCTAGAAATAAGTTGTTTATCTAAAGAGGTCCAAAGTAACAGTATCAATTATTTGGGGACAAAATTTACCTTCTGAGGCATTGGTGCAAGAACCTTGGGGATTGAATAAACATCTGTATCTGGAGGAGTAACATACATCTACAACCAAACATTCAAGAATCAAAATATCAACAACAACAACAACAAATGAAGGTCAAGATTAACTCAAAGGCTAATACCAACCTCTCTGAAATCATAAACATCATTATCAGGGTCAGGGGGTTTCCTAATGAAGAAATCACAATGCAACAAACTAATCTTATGAAACTCATCTTCGATGATTCTGTAATCAACAAGTGTATCAGGATCCCAACCCTGCGTAGACACGAAGCTCGTGCTCTGCGCTGCCGCAATGTCACCGTCGCCGGCAGCCAGCTTCTCGTACTCGATGTCGAAATCCTTCTTGTTGTCGACTTCATCCATTTCTTCGTCGTCTATTTCGTAGTCGTCGGGGCCGGAGGAGTCGACTTCGACGACGTCGGCGCGGGTTAAGAATGGGTTGCGGCGGGAGGTGGTTTGGAGGGAGAGAGGTTTGAGTTTTGAAGTAGGGAAGAAGGAGGGTTGTGTGAATGTGGAGAGAGGAGGTAGTGGTGGGGATGTGAGGAAGAAGAAGGAGGTGGTGGAAATAGACATAGTTTTTTGTTCTGTGAAGTTGAAGGTTGCAGCAGGGAACTCGAGAAGAAAAAGATAGCACTTGGGTAGTGCAGTAATTGAACGTGGATTAGATTACAAAAACACTACTACTACTACTATCTATTTCATTCAATTTCTTCACTTATAGTAATCATTTTTCTTTACCTTAATTTTGGTGGAATTTTTTTAAAAAAAAATAAAAATAAATATTAGAGTTAAATATATTATTGATTGATTTTCATTTTTAACTTCTTTTAAAATTTTTATTTAAAGAATGATTTATATAAAATTTTCCATCTACACAATTGGTCATTGGTGTTAAATGCCAGTGCCACTAAGGATTGATGATGTAGTAGGTCAGGTGGAATAAAAAATTTAAATATTATTTTAATAGGAGATCGTTAGAATCATCAAGATGCATAGAAATAGCCTTAAACATGTACCTTTGTTTTCATTTGCTGCCTTCTTAGATCAAGACATCAATACCTGGAAATTAATAATTGTAAACAATATATCTCGTATATGCTTAGATAATACAAACATGAATATGTATTATGATGGAACCTGTGAATTCGTAATGAAAAATATGTTTGTATTGAGAATGAAAATGGAGAAAAGCTCACTTACACTAATGAAAGAAAAGATAAATTGGAGGATGATAAATCATTAGCATCTCTTCTATTATATAAAGAGGCATATGATAAATCATTAAATATATCCTTTGGTTGAGAAATTTTTTATATGAATAACAGATAGTGTTGGTGCAATTTCTTTCCTTTTGTTCTTGTTGTCCATAGTAAGAGCTATGAGCTTTTTCAAAAGATAGGTTTATACTCAATTGTACATGAATCTCAAGACTTGAATGAGTTCAAGTAGGTTATCATAGAAAATATTCATACCTTGATATAGTATTCGTCAAAGGTTCATAATCATGTATACATTCTTCTTTAATATAGACGTTGAAATATAAACCTTTGAAATCTATTTGCAAGTTTCCATAATTGTATTATAGTACCAGATTGAATTGTGTTCTAGACTAGGCTCGGGGCTGGTCCATTATCGAGTGCGGCCCAACTTGTCATTGCGTCGAGGTTGGTCTAAATGGAGGCTCAATCCATCGAAGTGTATTGCATGTAAACCCCCTCTGAGGAGCATTTTAGACCAACGTACTATTGGACCTGTCACACTTTCTCTTTATGATCCCGGTAAGATCACTGGTGTAGTCTGTGGGAATTATTTGTTCCCCCATTGTTGTACCCCAAAATTTGCCCTCCCTTTTTTCACAAGAAATCACAACCCTAGGGTTTTCTCAGATCTTCAAGATTGGCTCAGGAATCGATCAAACAGACTTTTCTATGGCAGTAAATCAAGAATTAGGGTTTCTCTCGCATTTCTCAGAAGAAACTGAATTCTCAGAAATTCAGTTAACTGTCACATGTTTTCACACTTTTTCGAGTTTGCTGAAAGGTTACTGGTTGTTCTCAAGGCTTGTTTATCTGGGATAAGAGATAGGAGCTGAGATGGTCATTTGGAATATTCAGGTTTTGTCTGATCCAGGTTAACCAGATAATGTGCGTCTGTTAAAACGTTTGCTTGTTAATGGAATGAAATGCTTGTTTGTTTATTGGAATACACAATGCGTATTTTGATTGGAATGTTGTTGCAAGGTTACAAGATTGCAAAGTTATTGGATTACTTAAAGTTTAAGTTATCTGTATTGAAATTATTGGAATACAGTTTCAGTTATTCTAAATCAGGAATCTTAAAGGATTAAGTGAAGATGCAGAGAAAGAATTGCAAGTTATTAACAGTAGAAGAGTTTTATTGGATAAATACTTTTTCATTTATTTCAAAAAATGTTACAATACAGTTTATTATTTAAATGCTTTAAGTTGCGCAACTTATTGTATTTGAAAATTAAATTGGTACATTTGTTTGAATATTTATCCCTAAGTTACAAAGAAAAAAGTCTAAGCCTAAACTTCCATTGTTCCATTGCTCCCATGCTCAAAGTCTTCTGCTTCCTCTGCTTCGTCATCAGCCAAGTTGTGCTCACATGAAAGAAAAACAAAGAAAAGAGGATTAGCACAGTCAGTTAAATAGAATTTTCAAACAAAAAAGAAAAGAAAATATTCATCATTAAAGTTTGCCATCTGGAATCAGAAGTGCTATTGTTCATCACGTTTTTATTTTCCTCTTTGAAAATCACAAGAAGATTGCTCTTCTTGGTTCACAAAGAGAAAAATAAAAAATGCAAAAGAGGAGTGCAAAAGCAAAAATTATTCAAAAACATAGCAAGGCACCAAACTATACAAAGCAAGTTTCAAATGCAAAACAGCATGGCAAACAAAACCAAACTTTGCAGTAAGGCAAACAATGCAGCAACTAAGGCAAACAGCATGGCAAACTAAGCATTGCAGCGAAACCAAACTTTGCAGCATGGCAAAACAATGCATTACATAACAGACGCCAAACTGCATTGCAAAACATAAGCAAACTGAAACATTACAGCAAACTGAACAAAGAAAACTGGATGCAAGCAAATCAAACTGAACGCAGTTCAAACAATGTAGCAGGCAGAAAGTACCATGTAGCAGGCAAAAAGTACAAATGCAGGAGATAAACCAAATCACAAGCAAAAGGCTTGTCATAGATTTTTCATCATTTTCTAGGAAAGAGACAAACTTTTCAGAAAAAAGTGGAAAAGCAAAAAAATTGCTTTGTCATTGAGAGAGAAAGAGAGAAAAGGATATCACCTTTTTGGAGAGTGTACAGTTTGGCTAAAGGTTGTCACAGGTTACAAAAGCAAAAGGATATAACTACGTCAAAGAGCACAAAGTAAAAGAGAAAAAAAAACATTGAGCCAAGCATGAAAACTCAGAAGTTCAAACTTATATCTCCAAGCCAGCCAAACTGTAAACAAAAAAACCAGAAACTGCATAACAGTTTGAGAGAAACAAACTCCAAAACCTGCAAACTACAAACCAGTTCCCAAACATATCAAACAAAATTGCAAACAACTACAACAAAAAACTCCCAGACCTGTGCAAACATAATAAAATTTCCAAAAACCTGCAACAGTTCTCAAACAGAACCAAGCCAACAGCCTAAAACTGCACAACCAGAAAAAAGACCATATAGCAGTTCAAACCACAAAGTCTGTTAGCACAACCAAGCTACACAAATCACACAACCAAAACCCTGTGAGCAAACAAACCCCAACTTGCAGAACCAAACTGCACTACCAAATCACAAACTCCAAACCTGCACAATCAAACAGAAAATCCCAAAACTGTGACAGCAAGAACAGCACAACCAAATCCCTGTGAACCAACAAGCTGCAAAATATCCAAGACTGTTACAACAAGACAGTAAGAAGCTAGTCAAAACTGCAACAACAACAAAAACTCAGAAAACAACATAAACAATCACAAATACTGTTATCAAACTCAACTCTCCCAAAAAACCTTCAACAGTTTCAAACACAAAAGTCTCCAAAAGCCTGTTAACATTTCAACAGGCCAACTGCCAAACAATCAAAGCCACAAAAGCCAATAAACCTGCCCATTCAGAACATTCAAGAGGACAAAGTTTCAGAGCAATCATCCAACAACAACTACCAATAATCAAAACAAGTTCAAATCAGAAGCAATCATCATCAACATTCAAGTTCAACAAAACAACAACCAAAAGTTTCAGTTTAATCATCATCAACATTCAAGAGAGAGGAAAGAGTTTCAGAAGCAATAACAACCAAAAGTTTCAGAACAATCATCATCAACCAAAAAATATCAACAAATCCAAACCAACAAAGAGTTTCAGAAGCATTCAACGCCATCATCATTCAAAGGCAAGAGAGAGGAAAGAAGTTACCAAAAAGCACGCTTGGCCATCACCTCTTCCCCTACCTCCGGCCACCACGTGAGCATCCAGTTCAAATCTCCTTCCTCTCCATTTTCCAGAAAAAAGCGCCTAAGGTATTTTTCTCTTCAACATCCTTTCCTACATCTCATAAAGCAAGTAATTTGGTCAATAACAAGATAAGAACCAGATTAATCAAAAAGGAAAACAGAAAATGTTCAAACTTCAAAACCCAGGACATCACCTTGTTTTTTTGGAGAGAATCGCTTGAACATGGTTAGAAAGAGAGTGAGGGTTGCTCCGGCGGCTTGAGGAGAGGGGAAAATCAAGAAGATCAAAGCGATTTGAGTGAGAGAGATGTAGAGGGAGAACGAGGAAGCGGCGCCGCTGTAAAACGTACACAAACCCTAAATTCCTGATACCCTAACAAATGTTACAAACTTTGCATTTGGGCCTGTCTGGCCACCACATCCCTAAGCCCACGCGAATTGCTAACTAGCGCACCCCCTCCCTTCCATTCTGACTCTCATCTTTTCTTTTATTTTTCTGGGCCTAACCTCCATATCACCTTTAAGCCCGCTTTTTAATCCTTTTTTCTTTTCTTTTCTTTTCTTTTGTTTATCAAATACTTTTGTTTTTAATTAATTTGTTTTCTTTTCTTTTTGTTAATAATAACACTAATAATATTTAAAACTTTGATTTTCTTAAATTAGTTTTATTTTCTTCTTTTATTAGTTAATCTTGTTTCATTTGATAAAATACCAAAAAAAGCATTTAACTTGATTTAATTAATTTTGTTTTCTTTAAACCCTTTTTGATTGATTAATAAAAATACAAAAATAATAAAGATTTTATTTAATTAGTTTGCTTCCTTTAAAAATTTTATTTACATAATTAATAAAATACCATAAAAGAATAATAATAATAATTCTTAATTTTTTAGAATAGAGTTTATTTATCTCTTTTTAATAAATACATGCATTTCATAATATTATTGATTTCTTCATTTGTTATAACTTTGTATTGAATTGCGGCAATTCGATTTGGTTGTAATACTTGATATTTGGACATTGTTATTCTTGTGAGACTCATCCCCATTTGTAATAATTGTACCCCCATTCCCAGATACTTTTGTAATA